AGTTGGGCCTACTGAAAAACTTTGTCAAGGCATTAGATAGAGATGGGTCAGCTTTTCAATACCTGCGTCAGAAATTTCCAAGACTAAGTGAGGCAAAGGTTAAAGAAGGTATTTTTGTTGGGCCACAGATTCGAAATATTTTGAAAGATACACAGTTTGAAAACACTTTAACAGGTATTGAAAAAACTGCTTGGAATGATTTCCGTCTGGTGGTCACTAATTTCTTGGGAAATAGAAAAGCTGACAACTATAAAACCCTTGTCAAAAATATGCTGTCATCGTATCAAAAGATGGGCTGTAATATGTCTCTTAAGATACATTTCCTACACTCACACCTGGACTTTTTTTCTGACAATTGCGGAGCCGTAAGTAATGAGCACGGCGAACGTTTTCATCAGGATATTTCAACAATGGGAAAAAGGTACCAGGGAAAGTGGAATCCTTCCATGCTTGCAGACTACTGTTGGACCATTGGTAGAGATGCTCCAGAAACGATCCATAAAAGAACAGCAAAAAGAAAGCGCATATAGTGTTCTTATAAGTATATGAATCTTGTTGCTTTTTTTAATATATCCTTAAAAATAAAAAGTTTTTTTTCTAAACCGCAACTAATTTTTTTATTTCATTGTCATTTTTGGATTCAGCGCCCCAAAATTAACAAAGAAGTGCACTTTTCCCACAAGATACAATTAAAAGACTAAATTTTGTTGTCCAGTGTAATCAAAACATTAATAATCCTCAAATTGTCACGCGAGTTTACGCGACTCAATATCCAAATCGGCGTCTTTGCGATGTTAGAGTCTTTCTCCGATTAGTGGCGAGCTTACGAGCCAATAGCAGTTTTCGGCCTACCTTTCAACGGCAAAGAATTGGAAAATTACAAGAACATATTAACCGCGTACTGGGATATATTGAGGGAAATTCTCAAGTTAGCACAGTCATTATCACGAACAACGGTTCAAAATATTTTGAAGGACCATAGGCAAGTTCTAATGGCCATCAAAATATAGCGATTTATTGAATTTAACTTTTTTTTAATTACTTTTAGAACGCACCCTTTTTCATGTCTTTTTGCATCAGACCTTGAAAGAGGAAGTCTTTGATCGGAGGTAGAGCTACTGGACGCCACCTTTAATAGTGCCGGGAGAGTAAATTTGCACAATATGCATTATTCGCCTGAAGCAAATCCGCATTGGTTGCGTGGAGTTCAACACCAAGGGCGTTGGAGTTTAAAAGTGTGGTATGGCATACTGGGGGCAGAATTATTCGGTCATATTTTTTCTTGAATTTTTGGACAATCAATTACCGTTGTTGTTGGAAGATGTGCCACTGGAAACACGGCAGAACTTGTTTTTGCAGTTGGATTTTGCTATTACTGTGTGAGAGCGCATATTAATGCAGTATTTCAACAGTGGTGGATTGGAAGAGGAAGTCTGTTTCCATGGCCTTCGCGATCACCAGACTTATCTTGTCTTGAATTTTATGTATGGGGACTGTTAAAGGACAACCAGAGAAGATATGAAAAACCGGATCAGTAATGCAATACGTAACATATACCGAGAGCCGAAATTTTTGTCTACGCATAGAGCGTGATAGTCAGCATTTCTAGCATCTACGGGGGTATTAAAAATCTTTCTTTTTTAAATCGGTCATTTTTAAGGCTACAACTTAATAATGAAAAGAAATTCCGGGAAAATTAGTTTAGAAAAATGAAAATTTAAGGGATTTCCGTATAAACCTTTCTTTGGCCTAAATTTTAGGTTAGGAACAACATATCGAGATGAGGTTTCAGCGGGCCTGTTTTTGTACATTTTAATGCTTCGAAAACACAGTACCTACCGTACCTTGACTAACTAAAAGCGACCTAGCGCTCATCCGGTTTCTATGGATGGCAGAGTTCTGCCAAAGAGCCGTTGATTTCGGCTGGTTGGAGACCAGATCACCGAGGACTTGAGACAAACATATCTCGTCAATAGCAGCAGCTGCTGGAAAAAAGCTACGCTATTTGTTTAGGGCTAAGAAGTATTTCTTTCCGCACGATCTCCTCACTCTATATCTTCTTCTACTGCTACTCCAACGGGCTTTACTTCTCAGAGTTATCCTCCATGATGCCGCCGCGCGATGTGCCGTTACCACCAAGAGTACAAGGCCAAACAACTGGGCTCTGAAAAGCCTATGACGTTACTCAGAGTAGGCCTGTGCATGTTCTTATGGAGTTTCGCGATGACTGGCTGGCAAGAGAACCGCGCCACCATTTCTCTGGGGTGTTGTCATATCTAGGTTTGATATAGCAGTATCGAAATCTGTACTAATTAGTTGTACCTCTCTGTGGGCGAATTTGCAAGATGTACTCGGGGCCTGCGCCTGCGATTATTCTTTCTGATCTGCCTCAGTATGTCAAGAATACATTTTCGATATTATGTTCAATCTGTCTATTGTGAAGTCTAATATTCCATTCAAAATTGGAATATGTGGCAACCTTGCCAACTAACCTCACATTCTGAGCCTTATCTTTCTATGCTATGTAAACTGAACATTATTGTTTTAAACTTATATTTGTGTCTCGCGATTGTTTAGCTAAGTTTTCAAAATGCCTTACAAGTGCTGCGTTCCTAATTGTGTCGGTAATTACGGGAAGGGTCCGAAGGTACACGTATTTTCGTTTCCATTGAATGAAAACTGTCGTAAAAGATGGCTCAATGCAATCCCTCGTAGTGATTTAGTGGTTACAAAATACACCCGAGTATGTAATTTGCACTTTGCTGAGGACAGCATCATTTGGGAATCCACCTTCCATGACGAAAAGGCAGGTAGGACCAATACTATACCCCTTAAGTATCCAAAATTGAAGGCAGAGGGAATTCCAAGTATCTTTGCAAATTGTCCAAAATACCTTTCAAAGGACATATCAAGCAGAAGAAGCCGAGATGAGAAATTGAGGGACAGGAACAAGAACAACTACTTAAAGCACTGCAAACTAGCATTGATGATTATTCCTCCTATCAAAAATCAACTTGTTTTCAAAATTATTCAGACTTTCTCACAGTTTTCAGTTGATGGTAATGTCCATATGGGTGACATAAAATTGTTCAGGATAAAGTTACTTTGTTTAAGTTAGAATATAAACCAGCACCCATCATAACTCACTCTGTAATAAAGATCTCAATGTAAAAACGTATATGTACTCCCAGGAATTGTTACTCAACTCAGCTAATATTAAAACTCAATTTTTATTATCTAATATACACCACTTGGATGATATTCTGCATGTTCTTTCTGAGAATGCATCGTCAGTTATATGAATCTGAGAAAAATTTACGAACCCAAAGCCTGATGTCATTGAAGTCTCGCTATAGTCATATACAAATAGATAAATTCTGTGAAAATGATGATTTAGAAATAGATGAAATTTCACACAATTTTAATGATTACCACTTTTTCCGGGAAATTGAAATTTTACAGTCTGATAGTATAAAGGATGAAATCCCTGTCATCACCTACTTAGCTGGTTACTGTTGTTATGCCTTATTAAAGAAAAATCACTGCGATCATTGTCAGGAAAATTTGACACACACACAGATGATATTGATATAGAAGACAAGCACAATATTATACAGAATTTGAGTAGAGGTGGCTTAAAATTACCAAAGGATCCAGTTATTAATATTGTCATGCTAAGTTATATAATTTTCAATAAAGTTTTGGAAAGTGACGAGGAATCATTTTTAGAAATCACAGCTAAGAGACGCGCTCTTTCTCAGTAGATAATTAACAATCTGAGTGATAATAATCACTCCACTTCATTTTCGCGTTGCACAGTCCATTCACCAGATTATGTTATAAAACTAATTGTTATTTGCACAGACAATATACATTTTTGAAAAATTATTGTGCCAAAAGAAACGACATCTTTGCAAGCGCGAATAAAGCAAAGAAACGTAAATTGACTACATTCACATGAGGCCGCAACATTTACATAGCTGTAGATAAATGTTTATTTGTACATATTCAGAATTTAGCACTTTAATTTTCGTTATTCTATTTTTTGTTATTTTTGATACTTGTTTTCTGTTTTCTAATTTTTGTTATTATTTTGTGCTGTTATTTGTTTATTCTAAGAGTTTTTATTAAGTTTCCGTTAATCTTTGTTAGGTTTTTCTGTTGTTTATTTTACTTTGATTTTATCTGTTTTTCTTATCATTTATCCTACACTTTTTCCTCCTCGTCTTCCTTATTCCTTTCCTGGCAAGAGCTTACCTCAGACCTCCTCGTTGGTTCTTGCTGGACACAACTGTTCTACAAGCACTACATAATAATAGTAAATTGTCCACATATTCCTGTGAAATTTTGTTGATCGGTTGTGACTAACATGGGGTTATTCGTTGAAGAATTTATCATTTTTAGCAAGCTTTTATAACATCAACTTATTAATCTAATGTGCACGTAATGTTGGATGAAATATCAGTGAAAATCAGGGTGAAAATAGTGAATAACTACTTTAATATTTTCCACCAAGTTGCCTTCATATACCAAAAACACTTTTCTGAATTATCTGTAATTTACATCAGGTAGAGTATATTAAATATGCTGCAATAATATATTATTAACTAACGCTGATGTACGGCACGCCGTGCTGTCGACCGGCCTACTCGTGGTGACGTCACGCGTCTGTTGTCAGACCCTGTACTCTCGGTGGTAACGGATTGTGCCTGTCAGACAGAGCCGCCTGACATCGGCCTCCGATTCTAACCGTGTCGAACATCTTACGTCCAGAACCGAATAACTTTAGGCAGTTCAAAAATCGGATTAACAAAATTTCTTTGGGATCCCCATAGCAGCCGCGGTGTCCTGGTATGCCGCGGCTGCTTTAGTGTAAAAAAATACATTTGTTTCAAATGATTGAAAAAATGTACGTTGTCGTAGTTTCGGAGATGTTCATTAATAAATGTTGAAGTGATACGAAGCACTATTTCAAGTAGACAAATTGAGAACGAATGAAAAACTTTGTACAATATTTGTTTATTTCCTATTTACAAAACGAGTTCACATTATAAAATTAATTACCAGTACATTTACAGTAAATTACAGTAAACAAAATGTCTAAGATATATATTTACCTATTAACGTCCAGCTATTGAAAATAGATTAACTCTAACTCAGAATCATTTATGAGAGAAGTGGACTATGGGTATTCAATGATCTCAATTGAAATTAGCACTGTATTGTTTCTAAAAATAGTACTAGACCCAACAATTTGAGATGATCCCTAAATTCACAACAGGTAGTTCGACTATAGCCAGTTCAGGACATACTATTTAATTTATTTCAGAAAACAAGACTTTATTGACTTGGTCAGTATACCACTGGTACACTGCTATACAGACGAGTCCTTTTGATAGACGAAACATGCATTGCCTATGCCAAGAATTGTGTGTATAGTAGTGGACTTTGGTAAGATTGCTAGGGCATCTCGATCTATAGGAGAATATCACGTATTGGACGAACATCAGGGTTCCGATCTTCATGAGTTCCTAACTTCACTATACTACAACTATTTAAAACTGTAATGATTCATACGCGTGATCAACACGTGATCAGAGCTCGATCCCGGCTTCCTTCCAGTACAACCGTATAGCGTACGACATATGTCGTTTCTGTGGCTTTGCGGTGGTCAACAGCACAGACAGAGATGGAAATAATGGCTGATTGTTCTCCGCCGGTAGAACCAATGAAATCAAAGACGCGCCTCGACCGGCAGACTCATAGGCGTCGGCAACGCATTGGAACGTGTTTCGTAGAGCGATCGCATATTGTGTGTTTTTATAAGAATTGTTGTGTGATTGTTATTGTTGTGGTTTCTGTGGTTACTGTTTTGGTTATACTTAACCATGGAGAGTACAAATGGCACGAATGGAAGTACTGAAAGCCAGGGAACAAGTAGATGGCTTCGTAAAGCACTGAAGAGGGACGCGAAAGAAATCGTGCTCAACGTGCTCAATTATCTAAACAGAACTATGTCGCAGGGAGATGCACTCGCGCGTTGTGAAAGTATGACAGGCGTTCCAGAGTGGACCATTCGCAGGGTGGTGCATGAAAAGAAGAAAACTGGAGCTACTACTGATCCAAAGTTTAATTTGAAGTGACGAAAGGCCGTTAAATTGGATGGCGATAGCAAAATGGCATTAAGGCGAACCGTACATTCATTCTTCTTTAGGAATGAGATACCAACCCTCAAGGCTGTACATGCAGCGATCAAGGAAAATGAAATTATACCCCAAATGAGCGTCGAGGTAATGAGGAAATCCCTGCACGAAATTAATTTTCGTTACGAAACGCGTAATCGGAAGTCATTATTGATAGAGAGACCTGAAATAGTCGCCTGGCGTCGAAAATACCTACGCGAAATGATTGAATATAGGCGACAAAGCAGAAAAATCTATTATTTGGACGAGACATGGGTAAATGCAGGTCACACAGTTAAAAAAACCTGGATAGACAAAAACGTAGTGAGTAACCGACAAGCAAGCATTGAAGGTTTGTCAACAGGTCTTCGTGGACCGTCAGGGAAAGGTCAAAGACTGATCGTAACTCATATTGGTAGCGATAGTGGCTTTTTAGAAGAGTGTGACTTGATTTTCGTCTCTAAGAAAGGAGGTGATTACCATGACGAAATAAATGCCAGCTGCTTCGAGAGCTGGTTTCAAGGGGTGCTTCAGCGAGTTGAGCCCAACTCTGTGATCCTCATGGATAATGCTTCCTACCATAGTCGTCGAGCCGAACGTGTACCGACTATGGGATCTCGAAAAAGTGACATGCAGCAATGGTTGCGCGAAAAAGGAATCCCGTTTGACCATTCATGTGTGAAAGCGGAATTGTATGAAAAAATTAAACAGCACAAACCTGCGAACATTAGTTACGTGACTGATGAGATGGCCCGTCAATGTGGTGTCACTGTGCTGCGGTTACTGCCCTACCACTGTGAACTGAACCCAATAGAGCTCATCTGGGCTCAAGTGAAGGGTTATATTGCGCGCCATAACACAACCTTCAAATTACCAGACGTTAAGGTTTTACTTGAGACTTCCATACAGCTAGTAACGCCCGAAGCTTGGCAGAATGCTATCCGTCATGTTGTGAAGGAAGAAACAAAAATGTGGCAGCTTGACCACCACATCGACACCATCATAGAGCCAGTTATAGTCAATTTCAACGAGGAAAGCGATAGCGACAGTTTATTACTGTCAGATGTAAGTGGAAGTGATGATGAATAAAGGTAATTCCCAAATTTGTGACTTACAATATGTTTCAAACCACTCTTTATTAAGCATGTGACAAATCTAGTTCACCCATGTTAAACATTCATACCCCGCCTATGAACAGCCGACTACTGGTAGTTAAGTGATGTTCACGTGAACATCGATGAGTCATTACAGTTTTAGATAGTTATTGTATAGGGTCCCAAACCAAAATCCAAAATTGCAAAGAATCAGATTTTTTGGATTAAATCGTGTTATTTTTATCAAGTTGAACTGATTTTTTCCTTTAAGATGGCAATAATGAATTTTGTAATAACTTATTTTCATTATTTTTTTCTATTTGCTCAAAAATGTTTGTTTTCTAGATTTATAGTAAGAAAATCTCCTCGGCGGCATGCGAAAAAACTTGTGTTGACATGTGAGATCGATGCCATAGTGAGAGAAAAAATTTCAAATGCCTATTTGAAAAGATCTGCTGGATACTATTTTGCGATTCTAAAGCCTATTTCTGTTGGCATTGCAACTGACGCAACCATTTCTGATGTCGTACAAGAATTCAGAAATCTTGAATCGTTCTAGACTGATTCTACATTCAAGTGAAATAAAAAAATTTAGACACCAATATTGTTTTCATTTAACGACAACTTCATCAAGTTGCAAATTGTCCAAAATATACTGTATACTAAAGATACTGCACTACTCTCATAGATGATAGTTTCCTTATACTGTCTTTGACCATAGGAATATATCACGTTTTGGACGAATCTGAAGGTTAATATCCACATGCGTTTTCAACTTCACCTGGTTCCTACACTGGACGTACTTAGAGGTCAGATATATCATTCAAACATAGTTCATGGGTACCGCGTTGTTTTTGTTGAACCACATCCTCACTCCAGTCAAGATGCTGCGCTAGTCTCATAAATGCCAAACTTTGGGGGACCGGAGGAGCATATCACGTATTTTAATAGCCTCGGCGCTCCGGTCTTCATAAATGCCTAACTACACCAGATTCCAAATTATCTAGAATCCACTCTAGATACTGCGCAACTTTCGTGTAGATAGCAGGCTGCCCATCAGTCCCGCATTGCCTAGGTCGATAAGACACTATCCCGTACTGGACGAAGCCAGGGGTTCCATCTACCAGTCCTACATAGTTCATGGGTACCGCATTGTTTTTATTGAACCACACCCTCACTCCACTCAAGATGCTGCGCTAGTCTCATAAATGCCAAACTTCGGGGGACCGGAGGAGCATATCACGTATTTTAATAGCCTCGGCGCTCTGATCTTCATAAATGTCTAACTACACCAGGTTCCAAATTATCTAGAATCCACTCTAGATACTGCGCAACTTTGGTGTAGATAGCAGGCTGCCCATCAGTCCCGCATTGCCTAGGCCCATAAGACACTATTCCGTACTGGACGAACCTAGGTGTCCCATCTACCAGTCCTACATAGTTCATGGGCCCCCCACTGTCTCCTCCGCAGCTGTCTCGGCCTGCGTATCCTCCCGCACAGATTTGGGCCTCTTTGACTGGGGCAAAGTGCCTGTAGATGTGGCGACACTCCTCGATAGGGAGAATTGGTATTGAGGTCTTCAGGAGTTCGGGGCTCTTGAAACCTGGAAGAATATGAAATAAATTGCGTGATAATGAATGGTACTGAACATAAAAAATTTGTTCTTCCCCACCACGGGCAGCCTGAGGACCTAATTGACCCATAAAAGTTGCATATTTTACAAGATTGAGGATTACGTCCCTCGGAGAGAAAATTGCCACCCCCGCTCTTCGGAAAGTTCATGAGAGCTGATAAACTTTCACAAAAAAAGATGTCACTTGCCGCTGATCGGATGTTTGCAAGATATTGATAAATAATAGCGAAAAAGCCTTTGATCTTCTGACACATTTGAAGAGCTGCCGCAATTTTAACAAGTGTGAAAATGGACGTAAGCGTGCTGAGTTAAGTAAAAAACGAATGTTTTTTAAATTTTCGTATCTACAGGGTGTTTCAGTTTATTGTTGCATAACCTTAAGATTCGATAGAACTTTTAAAATTATTGCATAAAGTCTATATAAACATGGGTTGAAAAATCCGTGGCTTCCGAAATACAGGGTGTTTAAATTTTTTTTTAATATTTCGAACAATATTTGATGTATAACAGTGAAAATTGGTATACAAGGGTTTTTTTTATACGAAAAAACGAACTATGGGCATAGTTTTACTGTAGCCGCTAGAGGGCGCTCTCTACTGTACCTGTAGTGTATTAAAATGACCAAAAATTTTTTCTTAGTGCAATTTTTTGCTTTTTGAATAAAAAGACTGATTCTTTGCACTTTTCAACATAAAAAAGCTCTCTTGTTAATTTTCGTTATAGTTAGCCGTTTTTGAGATATTTCGATTTTTAAGGTTCGATGCATTTTTAATTATTTATGATAAAATAACGTTAAAAAGTCAGTATCTCGATAATTTTTAGAAGTAGGCTGTGCCTGCAAATATTTTTGAAATTGAAAACAGAATAAGGTTAAACGTCAATTAGTTGACAGTTACTTTTGTTGTCTGTTGAAACCTGAAACGTTTTTTTGCAATTGTGAATGCATGAAATTTAGTTTCTTTTACCTGTTTTTTTGTAAGTTTTATAAAAATGCCATTTTTATTCTCCAATCAAGAGTTAGCGGATATTCATTTTGTGTATGGCTTTGTAAATGGAAACGCAACAGAAGCAGCCAGAGAATACGCACGAAGATTTCCAAACAGACGACATCCAACTCGCTCAGTATTTGTAAGAGTGCATCGCCAAATAATTGAAAATGGTTTTGGAAATCTCCAAAGGGATCAAAACATAAATGTTCGTCAGCGCAGATTTACCCGTATGATTCTGCGTGAGTTTGATAGAGATCCGACCACAAGTGTTAGGAGAGTTTCTGGTGCCTTAGAAATTTCAGCAAGCCATGTTCACCGTGTTCTTAGAAATGACCATAGACGTCCTTACCATTTGCAACCTGTGCAAGGACTACAGCCAGGGGACGGAGAACGAAGAATCACATTTTGTCAATGGATTCTTGATAGAACTGATAATAATAGGGAGTTTTTAAGTAAGGTTTTATGGACCGATGAGTCATGCTTCACTAGACGTGGAGTGGTGAATTTTCATAATCAACATATTTGGTCGCATGAAAATCCGCATGCAGTTCGGAAAAGAAATTTTCAGCATGAATTTAGTGTGAACGTGTGGATTGGTATCTACCGTAATCGACTATTTGGACCCTACCTTTGCCTGCAAGGTTAAACGCTGCGACCTTCTTGGAATTTTTAAAGGCTGAACATGCAAATATGTGGGATGATGTTATGTTAGATTTAAGAAAATTGGCCTGGTTCCAGCTTGATGGTTCTCCAGCTCATTATTCGAGAATAGTTAGAAACTGGCTGGAAGAAAATTATCCAGAAAGATGGATCGGCCGTGGAGGACCAGTCCCCTGGACTCCACGATCCCCTGACCTAAATCCATTAGATTTCTTTGTGTGGGGATTTCTAAAAGAAAAAGTGTACCAGACTCCCGTCACTACAAGAGATATGCTAATAGACAGAATCAGGAATACATGTGATGAAATAAGGCCCTATTTGAATAATGCTATACCACGTTCGATCATTCGTAGATGTGAATTGTGTATTGAACAATTGGGTTTACATTTCGAGCAACTACTTTAGATTTCGTATGTTTGTCCTAACTATCCAATAGCATTTTAGTTGTAAATAATTAATTCAATTTGTTAAAAATAATATTGGAAAATTAAACAAATTAATATTCTGTTTTTTGTGTTTATTTGGAGTTAGGAATTATTGGTGTGTTTAAAAACACAATCTAAGCGATCATCTTAATTACGTGTAATGCCCAAATCTAAAATGTAAAACAAATATTATTTTCACATAAATAATTAAAAATGCATGGAACCCTAAAAATCGAAATATCTCAAAAACGGCTAACTATAACGAAAACTCACAGGAAAGCTTTTTTATGTTGAAAAGTGCAAAGAATCAGTTTTTTTATTAAAAAAGCAGTAATAGATATAGCTTTCACCCGTCTGACCGCAGATGGACAACTATGGACAGCTGTTTCATGCTACTTGGCAACTCCTCAGGTGTACCCTCTATCTATAGTACGCATATGTACAGCCTTTAACAGTTGTATAGGTGCTTCCGTTGGGAGCAATTTGTTGGCTAAAGTAGTAAATTGCACAGCAAAACAACAAGGCTCGGGTTTGTTTTATAAACGTTACCATGGATGCCACAACACAACCATTTTGACTAACGTGCAAATATGCCGTATAAAATAGTTGTATAAACGTTTATGCAACAGTTAAAAATTTGCCCTATACGGTGTTGTATAACTATGCTATAAGCATATTTTAAACACCTCACTTTAAAGCAAATATATTGCAGAAAGCAAATTTGCATTCCACACAACATTAAGCCAGAGCATTTTGGTGTTCAGGCAACAACAATAGCGAGCTTTTATGGCTGAACGGTTCTTTTACCAAAAGCTTATAACACTACTTTGCTTGTTGGCCATTTTTGCCGAACACTGTTTCGCAATCGTCTTAAAACCTCCAAATAGCACAAGCTCTCGAACATTTTTGTCGATTCGGGCAGTTGATGGACGTCCAGAGCGAGGTTTGTCATCAATCGACATGTTGCCATTTTTAAATCGAGCAAACCACTCGTACACCTGAGTATTATTTTTTCACAGTTTCAGCAGAAAGAAAAATTTCACAGCTGCGCGTTGCTCACTGAAGCTTGTCATTGTAAAAAACGAAACAAGCACTTAACAGCTCTAGCAAAAATAATGACTACAGAGGAACGAAACATGCCACATCGACAACTCAGGTAGCACTAAACTGGCAATGAGTTGCGATGTACGTCTCTAGGGGCAGAAATGTGTACTACACAAGCTCCGCCCACTCCAATGCTATTATTTATAATAGTTATTTTTGGGTACCTCCTCGTATAAAGTCTATCGAAATAATACAGCACAAAGTTCCATCGGTTACCAAGACTTCAGTTTACACTCGTTTTCCTACGTTGTCTACACAAGCCAGCCAGGTCAATCAAGTTCTTTGTAAATATTTCCTCCAATTCTTATCACAATCAACGAAGCTCCGAAAAGGCACGAACAAGCCTACCAATAGACAGTATTATGTCTTGAATCATAAATAAATTTTGGGTGAAAATATTTGGATTGTTTTTTCGCATAATCTCATTAAAAAAAGACCACCTTTAATGAATCTGCAAGTTGCTAGACCTAAAATTGCGTCAAAAATTGTTTTTCTTTTTTATTAAGGTTGTGCAAAAAACCTAATCAGAATATTTTTTCTGAGCAGATGGGAAATATACTTCCTGGACTATTACCGTAGGTAATAAATGGGTAATCTCATCCAAATGGCAAGTAACCTTTCAGCCACCGGAGATATCATATCTCAGCCACCGCGTCAGAATATGTTTTTTCGATGGTGTGATTCATCTACTCTGTATTCTTTGATATTGATATCCCAACGGAAAAAATCTTGTAAAATACGCCACTAACTTTATAAACATTTTCTTACCATCTTCTGTAATTCCCCATCCTGTAACAATAACAAATTTCCCAGAGAGCTCCATATCTTCAATCGGCAGGCAGATTGGTTGGACATTAGCTGAAAATTTTTTTCATGATGTATAATACTTTACATATAAAAATAATAGTGAAAGATATATTAAGAAACTAAACATCACATCTATTAATCTCTGAGAATTCTACATTTATGTTGAATTCTCTAACTATATGCGTACATTCCTTATAAAGATTAAGCACTTATTTTGATTGATTTGACTGGTTTATCAAATTACCGTAGCCGAAGTTTGCTGGCATGGCTAACTTGACGAGAGCTATGTCATTCATCAAAGTTTTGGTGTTGTATCCTGGATGGCCTATCACTTTCTCAATGTAGAAATCTTGTGTTGGAGGTGCGCAATAGTGACTGTTAGGATCGCAGTCTTTATCTGAGTTCAGGTTGTGTTCTCCTAGACGAACTCCTACTCTGAAAATAGAAGCTCATGTTAAGTATTGTTATCATTGTTTAGAGAACCTTATTAAGCACACACGATTTTTTTGAATCTATTTGTTGGGCCATTTAGAAGCACGGGTATTATGTAAAAAACCTATAAAACCTACAAAATGTCATCTAGCAGACTATTTAGTTTTTAGGGTGCAAACTGTCATTCCACGTTTGCTCACTAGGATCGTTGTGAGTCCATCTATGTAGGAATAGCTCAACTACACGTCTTGTTGGTTGCATATGTTTTGTGAAGCCGATTAGTCTATATAGTTTTCATATCTGAGAAGAAAGTTGGTTGGACAGCAAGATCACATCTGGATGTGTGTGTATTGGTCTGCATGTGTATAAAATCAGTGATATTTGCTTTGTGAGAAAATCATTACTGAATATGCTGCCAATGAAGTATATCTATTAACTGTGTCCGACGAGTTATTTATATGTTGTCCTTTCTGAAGACAGGTTATGATGAAAGTTATAAATTACGGTTTTTTACGTTTTTGTGTTTTCAAAAACTTTTAGTAGAATTACGGGAAATCAGCACCGCACCCGCGTTGTGAATAATTACTGTTAGCATGTATATGACTTGTAATTCAAGAGTGTACAGTGAATATAATTATTTCTTATCTCTCTCATTTTTAAAATTCTGCAAATTTTGCATATATAATTTCCAGAATGGATAAGAAAAAGTGGACGCGCAACTAATTTCTACCACTGAACCTCAAGTAAGTCTATTTGAGACAAGAATCCAATGGAATCATCATCAAAACATATTATTAACACACAAATCCTCACTGTGCACCTATGCATTGCCGTTACCTCCAGTAATGCCATGTCTGAAGCAGACTTTACATCACATCAGAGCCAAACATTGATAACTGAAGCCTCATGATGTTTAGGCAACACGTACAACTACAAAACGAGTTGACAACGTGTCCATCAGCTAGTCCAAGTTAACATCATGTAAAAAAAACCTACATAATGTCACAAAAACCAATATAGTGTCACTTTTCAAGATACGTAATACCCGTGCCGATGTTTCTATTGCTAGTTAACTTTCATTTTAGTTACTTATGGGGTGGAAGTTAACTATCAGTTGATATGGCACTGCTGCTTTTATGCCTGAATTGTGTTGTTTTATGCGTTTCGCGATGTCATTTTTGTCTTGTCATCCATGACAACTGTCAAGCATGTTAGGTTAGACATTGTGATTTGATCTCAACTTTATGGTTACCCCATACATGGTCATCTGGTTAACTACCGCCTTAGGACACAATTGACATTGAAGAAAGTTTTTTCATAGTCGACTTCTGGTTAGCAGTGACGTTGCTGTTAAATTGCAATTAAAAAACCGGGCCTCAGAATCTTTGGTCACTTGGTTATTCGCAGGTACAAGATGGTTTAAGGCGCAGGACAAGAGAAGACAAGAAATTAGTTGCATTTTTACATCCTACACTACTGTGCGAGGAAATACTGTAATCGCGAAAAATCTCTAAAATGAGATATTGTGTTGTTTGGGATGTTATATGACATGTATGTACATAATAGTGGTGTTGGTTATCGTTACTTTCGAGTACTCGTTACTAATCGTTACTCTTCTACAAAGTAATCGTTTATTGTATTCGTTACTTTGATTACTATGAGTAGTATGAGTATAACGATTTATCAATGTGCGTCGTGTGATTAATGTCGAATTTAAACAAGTTGAATGGATCCGAATCTTGTAAGAAAATAGACGACCCTAAAATTTGCAAAATGTTATAAGCATAGTTTATTCAAGACTCTCGTGTTTAATGCAAACATTGTATCTTCAAACTGTATGCTTATCGAGATGAGTTATCATAGGATGGTGTGTCATATGACTCATATGAGCCTACAAACTGAAAATACTTTGAATTTACTAGAAATACTTAAAAACATGCCTTTTAGTCAGAAAGATGATCTGTATATGGGCTTAAGGAAATTCGAAATGGCATGTGACTTTTCGAAGCATTTCAATTAAGCATAATATACCAGTATAAAAAATTCTACGTTGAGCTTGGTCTACACATACTATTGGTGGTCATACTGAATTATATTTTTTTTAGCAAAACAGAGCATGGAAACACGAGTCAAATTGACATAACTTTTATTATTGTGGTTTTCCTGAACGTTGGTGTTACCTTGTTGTCGCTTTTCTGCCTAATACTGCCGAAATTTGATCCGATCCAATCGACTACTTATTCCTTTTCAGGTTCCCAAGATCACAACAATAAAAGCGAATTTGTGTCACGGTGTAAATAGGTAAAATTCAGATTTAAAAACAATTACCAAATTCTATGTCCGCCAATAAAAAAAAAATGAGTTTCCGGGTTTCCATCTGAATGTGGGATGTCTGGCAACCCTGGTGCCTGAGCGGTAGTGCTACAGTCTAACCAGCGTTACCACTCAACGATCAACGATTGTACAGGTACCGGGTAGGGATACGGAAAACAGAGTAATCAAAGTAATCATTTCGTGCTTGGATTGGTACTCGTTACTTCGGGTATCTATGAGTAACGAGTACTCGAGTTTCGTATGATTACTCTTTCAACACCACTAGTACATAACGAAAAGCCATGTCACTCATTTGCGTCGGTTTGTCGGTGTACGTGTGTATGTCCGCTAATCCTTGACCAATCTACAACTTGAGAAGTTCCGCTCGGACTTTGAAGAAATGTTCTCAAAAGGTTGTTAACTAGGCCAAGTGGCGGCGGAGTAAAAAACCGATATTCAAAAAAATAAGAAACGCTGAAACTTCGTTTTTTGGCATTCTAGAGATTAAAATTCTCGGGTTGGAGGTCGTAGGTTGGGGAAGGGTATATAAAAATTTGTTTTACACATCAAAGATTTCCCCGAACATTTGCCTTTAAAACTTAGAATGATAGAGAAATACACAACTCAATGAAATTAAGGGAGCAAGAAAAAATCCAAATTTTTCGGTCATTTTTGACAGGCTGTATTTCGGTGAAAAATGCTCGTGTCGAGACTTTAAAACAGGAATTTTAAAGCTTAAAGATTCTAGTTTATAGGTTTTCTAACAGATAGCGCAAGGAAAATGTTTTGCCTTTTTCTTGGTCCACGGGCTTGACATTTATTTTCTCTAAGGCTGTCATATGGATTAGAGTGCCCCCTTATTCAGCTTTAACAGCCTGTCTTTAAAATCTCGATACGTTCGTTTGGAGCAGAAAATCTGACTTTGAATGAAAAAGCATCCTTTTCCTAACCAGTGATCGCACAGAGAATGTAAGGGTATTTCCGAAAATGGGATAAATCTCCTATAAAATTTAATTACAATAGATAGATGGACACTGAAAAATTTGGATTTTTTTCTTGCTCCCTTAATTCTATTGAGAAGTGTATTCTCGGTCCGCGTACTCCTGCCATCTAAGCTCACCACCCGGCGAACCGGTCTGGCTGACTAATTTATCCGTATTGTAGCGCAAAAAACACATACAGCGATCATGCACGAAGTAAATGATAACTCGCTGCAGCGATGAAGCGCATATGTGGAAAGGGACCATGTTGCCAAATGGACAGTAACTACCGCTAGGGCAGCGAAATAATGACTATGAACTAATTATGTAGGCCTGTTTGACTGACTTAAAGCTGATTTAACTAAGGCCCGTATCGTCAGTCGTCCCTACAATTGTAGGGCGCGTTTATGGCCTCCTTGATTGTCATACTCATTCTCTCCTTCAAAAATTTCTAGATTACACTTGTCCCGTGTCAGCGTCAGCGCTCTCCTATTGTAAAGATATGTTTTCTTTTTAAATTGTAGGAAATTTTAGGCTGATAAAACATGATATAACTCAAAAGCAAGCACAATTTGATGCAAATAGATGTTTGTGACATAACCTCAAAATAGAGCGCTGATACGGAGAAGTAGAAAACTATGACAATCAAGGAGGCCATAAAGGCGCCCTAAAATTGTAGGGACGACTGACGATACGGGCCTAAGATTTAAATTTGACATAGGCCTCCACCAATAAGGGAGCAGGTTGTCGAAATGCAATTTGACAGAAGCTGTCGAAGCTCTCCTAATATCAGTAATTTCTATTGAAATATTGAATTAAATCGTAAAAAGTGGTTGTTTTATAAGTAAGGGTATATTCTGGATGTAGTACGATGTCTTTGAGCTTTAAAATTAAGTTAACTTTCATAGAATTGCCAATTTCTATCATTTCACAAAAGGCAGGAAGTCATTTGAATGAACCAATGAAAATGCAAGAAATCATAGGTCGATTTTGTAGCTATTAGTTTTTGACGGCTCTTCATGCATGGCAATCTAGTTTCGTCTCTATATCACATGCAGAGTGTTGTACATAATACGTACAATACTTGTAGAAATGTACAGGTTTTTTATTTCCCCAAAAAAAGGATATAAACCGTATTCCAAGTGGTTCATTACATTTTGTTACATCAAAAACAATTTATTACCGATTAAAATATAAAAATACCGAAAAATCCGGTTCAAGTCCATGCATAAGCTTTTAGCAAAATCTAAAATAGTAAGCACCACCGCACACCGCTGCCCAGTTGACAAGAACGACAAGCTGTCAAGATGTATAACCCGGGGTACCGACGGAGCTATTTGGGGCGTCGTGACGTTGAGTTTAAAATTTTCATTTGCATTTTTTCAAGTGCTGTGCAACGATTTTGGGAAAAATTCCACTACGTATAGTCTCATAAAGCATAGTAGAGTACCATTTCAACAGTTGGCTGAGTTAGCACCATGCTCCACTGGACCAAGCGTTGACGGATCTCACAGAATTATGTGTCACTTGTCGATATGGGGAGTTTTAAAGTATACTAAGTGACATATAAATCCGAACACCCAGTTTGAATGGTTTTATTTTAATAAAATTTTGTATAAGTACTTAATGAAGCATAATAAGTAAATGATAAAAATTTCAAAATGATTGCACTGCTTTAAAGCCCTTTGACCTTTAATAATGTATGGGTGCACCCTGATGTGCTACGCATTCTCCAACGCGCCTCGGCATGCTTCTGATCAGGTGGTTAATGTCCTCCTGTGGTATCTCATTCCAGGCAACCACCAACTCCTCTCGAAGTGCTTCTAGAGTCTGAGGAGGACGTTGCAAATTGAGCAATCTCCTACCCATCATATCCCACACGTGCTCAATTGGGGATAAGTCGGGAGATCTTGGTGGCCATGGTAACAATGTGACATCATTGTGTTGAAAGAAGTCTATTGTGACTCTTGCAACATGTGGTCGGGCATTATCTTGTCGGAAAGTTGGATCTGCCAGGGTGTCAAGATAGGGTAAAAGATGGGGTTCTATAACTTCGTGTTTATAACGCTGCGCGTTCATGTTACCTCTGATGAAGATTAAAGGTGACCTGGAACCATAAGCTATAGCACCCCAAACCATAACTCCAACAATGTGATGAACATGTCTTTCAAAAAAAAACTGTGGATTCCTCCTTTCACCACGTCGCCTTCTAACCCTGGCACGACCATCGTGCATTCCTAAACAAAATCGAGACTCGTCACTAAAGACAATACTGTTCCATTCCTGATCCCAGAGTGACCGTTGTCTGCACCACTCAAGGCAATTACGTCGGTGTTCTCGAGTTAAAGGGAGACCCAGTGTGGCCGGTATGAGAACAAGCCAAAACTTCTCATTCGTCGGTAAACACTTCGCATGCCAATAGGTATTCCGTGTTCTGCAAACCATTCATTTGCAATGGACCTGGTAGTGGAGAAACGGTCCCTTAAGGCCAATAATCTTAGGCGGCGATCTTCATGGTCTGTTGTTCTACGGCGGCGTCCAGTGCCCCTTGCTCTTTGCGTACGGCCTTCTCGAAGCCATGCCTGACAACACCTAACCACAGTGTCTACACTTCTTTGCACTCTAACTGCAATTGCCCGAAAAGAAAGTCCAGCTTCCCGAAGTCCCACTATACGACCCCTATCAAACTCACTAAGTTGATGAAATCGTACAGGTCTCCGTACTCTAGGCATCGTAACCGATCGTAAAGGATGTCAAGAACCAAAATCCGCCAACGTTGATTCTTTACTGCGGCTGAAATTTTCATTTTTAGAGCGTTAGTGAATTAAAAAAAAGCAGTATAAAAACCGGAATGTCCAACTGATAAGGCTGAAAATGTTTTCACTTGTTATTTACAGTAAGATGAATACATTTACCAACTTTTATTAAAATAAAACCATTTAAACTGGGTGTTCGGATTTATATGTCACTTAGTATATTAGGAGATAATCAGCTGTTACTCGACCCTAATCTATACTGGTAAAAAATACCGCATTTCATTGTTTGGATTCAAATAATATCTAATATTACCTAGAATGTGTACTTTGTAAAAATAAAAAAATTATTGTAAATTCTAGTTTTTTGCAGGTGTTAGGTTTGCTGGTAGCTTTACAACATATATTTGGGTATTTCTCAATCGCTGTAACTATACTTGGATGTTTGTTCACCTCCTGAACAACGAAAAATATTCAACTTTATTGGTGCATGGGTGTCAAAAATCCGGAATGGTTTTGTGCGAATATGAATCTAAGGTGCCATAATGGTATTGATGAACGGCAAGTAAATGAATGAATGTTTGGAAACGAGCAATATCTATGAAATTTTTGGTAGAGTCTTTGTCATCAAGTAGGTGTTGAATGTCTATCTGCACAAAGAACACACAGTAGGTGATGTTAGATCCGTAAAATTGCATATCAAGTGAAGAAAATAATGTATACATGAATAAACAATCACCAATAGTAAAAAACATGAATTTTATTCAAATATACATTTTTTTAAATTTTGATTGAATTATATGTAATTTCTTAATGTTCAATAAGCTGGTGATGTTTCAATGACAATCCATCTTCTCATACTTTGACAGAATTTTGTTTCCAATATTTCACAGCTATTGGTTGCTAAAATTTGTTAAATGGATCTTGAAAATCATTAGCTATATTTGACGGATTTTTGAATTAACAATTCAGGTGAAATCCACTTTTAGTCCCTTTAATTTTCCCGTTGCACATAAACTGACTCAGATGACTTAAATTGCGCTGAACTTAATCCTTTATGAATTATGACGGCGTTTCGTAAGAAGTGCAGAGTCAACCTTCTTGACGTCTTTTTTAAATTACTGATCTAGCAGAATAAAAAGTGTGGCATGGTGTAGATGGTTTAATAACGTCTACGATTTGAGGAATCGTATTATTTCTGGATGTAACTCAATGATGAGTCGTCATCGTGAGTTCGACGATGCCTGAATCATTATACCAGATAAAGAAAATGGATTTTTAAGAAACCTCGGTAACAGCCTACTCATCAGCTTCATTGACTGGTTCAACACTAATCATTTGAATAGTAAAAAAGCAAAAGATTAAAGGTTTCACAATCCACAAAGATCGTTAACCCCATTTAACCTAATTTTAAATAACTATACTCTTCTTGGAGCTTTACTTGGATGATTATGCTATCTTCTAAATGCATTGTGAACATGTAAGCAGCAAGTTCGCTGTCATTTATGTTCAGCTCTTAATGAAAACCAGTTATTGATGTACTATGCACAAATTGAGTCTCGCCTACGCTATGCGTTATGCTTTTGGGGCTCTTCAACTGATGCTAAAAAGTACTCTTGAGTCTTGAGCCGGAAGAGGATCGTTAGATGTCTGGTGGGAGTTGACAGTGCACATAGCTGTAAATAGCTATCCTGAAAATTCTTACACTACCTGAACTGTTTCTTTACAAAATCGCAATCTACACTTTCCTTAAACAAAAGAAATTTAAATAAAGACGTACATGGTATTAATACCACAAAGTTAGCTGCAGGCCTCCTAAATCCTGGATCCAAGAAGGATAAAAAGCTTAAGGGTGTTTAAGGTGAAGTTGAAAAGCTATTTTCTTGATGAAGCTCTGTATTCTGTGGATGATTGTATACGCATATAAATGCTTGTTTTTTAATCTGTTTTTTATATTTTGTATATGTATTTGTATGTTTGATTTTGTTTTTGTGTGACTGAAGAATCCTATTCATTAATTTTAATGTCGAATGGATAATAAAATAAGTGAAATGACTTACATGGTTGAATTTACAATGCAATGGGCAGCTGTCAAAATGTACCATTCGTTGATGACTGCACCTCCACAGCGAAAATCCAAAACACCATCTGAAATACACAAAAATACTTGTTTGTTAATAGAAAAATAGTTAAATGGCGAAAGTTTAGCAATTAAGGTACGATTTTAAATTATTACATTGCATAGATATGACAAAATTCTTTGACATTGGTAATGAACGGTTATAGCTTCGACAACACCAAAAACGATAACCCTCCAAACTTGCGGTAGGCTCGTCCAATAGAGGAGGAATTTTGGGCTTTACTGCCTAGGAAGTTTTATCATGAAGGCTGGGAAACCCAAGATGAAGAACAATTGAGACGGAAAATTTACGAAAAACTGAGAGAAATTGTTCTGAATTCCGTCTAGGACCTCGTGAGCGAGATTCGGAGAAAGTTTCGTCTGGTAGAGCAAAATGGGCCACTCCACATAATTCGATAGTATAGTTTAGTTTAGTTAGTGTTTAAATAAATTTCTTCGTTAAATAAAATCCAATAGATATTTTGTGCCAAAAATTTTATTTTTTATATATATTTTACTTTTAATTTTGAAAAAGGGTATTTAATTGAGAATATTGCTAGACGCCCGTCTGTAAAGATTCTAATGCTGCCAGCCAAAACATCAATTAAGATTTCAGTCTGTTGAGTTTGGCTTCTGCACTAAAGATTGAATCAGGGATTCAATTAACACGATTGAGGAGGTGGGCCAACCTAGATAGAGTAATAGAGGATATTTGAAAAGCAAAGTCTACGTCAACAAACCAGCCACCCTCCAAGAACTCAAAAACAACATCATTGCCGAGATAAATGCCATAGAACCGACCATGTTGCAAAATGTCATTGAAAATTTCGACCATCGCGTGGACGTCTGTAAATCCAGTCGTGGTGAACATTTGAGCGATATTATTTTTCATACATAAATGGTATAAATGAACCTTCAAAATAAAGTACCCAACTTGATTTGAATATCAATCTTTCTTGTTTTAATATGCGTTTACTTTCCTGCGACCTCTGTTTATAAAACGTTGAGTCAACATTTTCAATATGGTTGCCGCGGCACAGGTGTTTGGTGCACGTATGAATCTGTAGTTGGGATTTTAGTTGCAAATGTTAAGTAATCATTGGTTTTTATGTCCTATTAGCCTTGGTTGGTATAAAAGAAGGTTGAGTCTTTATGTTTATGATTATTTTTAAGCGATAGATCAGAAAATAAGGCAGGAAAATGACTTTGTTTAGTATGTATCTCTCAAGCAACATTGCCAGAATAATTACGTTTTCTTTTTTAGTCTTCCGATCTGAATAATTTTCTAACCATAAGCACTACATGTTTTTTCGGCAAAAAGAAGGCACCGACCGTAATTCCCACAGATCCGCATATTTCCGATGTCTCAGACGACGATTTCAGGACGGAGAAAATATATCCTAAACAAATGAGCTTAACGATGAAGAAGAAGTGCCTTCAGGACTTGACATGCTGGTTTCAGAAAGTAATTCTGAATTCGAAGAAAGTGACGATGAAACTGAGCCGCCACCACCACAAAGACGAAAAACTGAATCATATTCTTGGATTGAAGCTGACATAGTTTCTGCTAACATACCTTCACCAGACTTTCCTGAACCTGACAACATTGCAGTTCCCATTGAGTATTTTACAAAGTTTTTTCCATTTGATCTAATGGATAAAAAAGTTTATCAGAAAAATCTTTATAGTACTCAGCAACTTGGGTTATGTATTGATACAAATCCGTCAGAAATAACGGATTTTCTATATCTATACTCTTGATTATGGGTATAATAAAACTTCCTGCCATAAAAGATTTTCGGGCAGCTAGTACAAGAGTAGATCACGTGGCCAATATAATGCCTCTGAAGAGGTTTCAGAAACTAAGACAGTTTATCCATTTCAATGATAACACTAACATAACAGACCAGACAAAGGATCGATATTTCAAAATTAGAGCCTTATTAGAAATTGTACGCAAGAACTGTTATAAACTCCAGTTTGAAAATCAATACTCAATTGATGAAACAATGGTGTCTTACAAAGGCACATATGCGGGCAACTTGAGGCAGTATATTCAAGTGTAAAATTATTTATTTATTTGAAAGACCGATTCGGGATACTTAGTTTAGGAACTATAAGGTCTAACAGAATAGCTGGATGTCAACTTGAAACCGATAAAGTGCTTCAAAAAAAGGGGCAGAGGTTCCTACATTTATAAAGCAGATACAGACAAAGGTATAATAGTAGTAAAATGGGCTGACAATAAATATGTTCTATTAGCAAGTGGCCTAAATCCCGTAAAATCGATAAAAAGATATTCGAAAGTGGAAAAGAAAAAAAATGCCATCCCTTGTCCATCCGTTATAACGCAATACAATAAGCAAATGGGCGATGTCGATAAGGCCAATTCATTACTTGGTCTGTATCGCAGTCCAAGCAGATCGAAAAGATGGTACTTCCCAATTTTCACATGGGGTCTTGATATGTCAGTGATCAACGCCTGGCTTCTGTATAGAAAGGACTGCAACACAGCTCGTGTAACGTCAAAACCGCTAAAGGAGTTCCGTATGGAATTAGCCAAATCGTTGGCCAACGCAGGAAAACAAAGTTCTCGTGGCAGACCATCCATTTCCTAGACTAATAAAACCGCTGCGAAAATAATATCAAACCCTATACTGCCGAGTCCTGATATCACCACCCAAAAAGATGACATAGGTCATTGGCCAACTTATGGTACAAAAGGTAGATGCAGGCACTGTGCCAATGGATTTACAACAATCTTTTGTACCAAGTGCAATCTTAGGTTTTGTTTCACCCCAAATAAGAATTGTTTCTACCTTTTCCATTCCAATTAGATTTAGCTGTTTCATCACATTGTATTTTGTGAAGAAGTATATATTTTGTTTATTTCTTGATATTCGTTTTATAAATAAATAATTTGGAATGCATAGTTGTATACTAAGTGACATATAAATCCGAACACCCAGTTTAAATGGTTTTATTTTAATAAAAGTTGGGGAATGTATTTATCTTACTGTAAATAACAAGTGAAAAAATTTTCAGCCTTATCAGTTGGACATTTCGGTTTTTATACTGCTGTTTTTTAATTCACTAACGCTCTAAAAATGAATATTTCAGCCGCAGTAATGAATCAACGTTGGCGGATTTTGGTTCTTGACATCCTTTACGATCGGTTACGATGCCTAGAGTACGGAGACCTGTACGATTTCGTCAACTTAGTGAGTTTGATAGGGGCCGTATAATGGGACTTCGGGAAGCTGGACTTTCTTTTCGGGCAATTGCAGTTGGAGTGCAAAGAAGTGTAGACACTGTGGTTAGGTGTTGTCAGGCATGGCTTCGAGAAGGCCGTACGCCAAGAGCAAGGGGCACTGGACGCCGCCGTAGAACAACAGACCGTGAAGATCGCCGCCTAAGATTATTGGCCTTAAGGGACCGTTTCTCCACTACCAGGTCCATTGCAAATGAATGATTAGCAGACCACGGAAGACCTATTGGCTTGCGAAGTGTTTACCGATGAATGAGAAGTTTTGGATTGTTTTCATACCGGCCACACTGGGTCCTCCCTTTAACTCGAGAACACCGACGTAATCGCCTTGAGTGGTGCAGACAACGGTCACTCTGGGATCAGGAATGGAACAGTATTGTCTTTAGTGACGAGTCTCGATTTTGTTTAGGCATGCACGATGGTCGTGCCAGGGTTAGAAGGCGACGTGGTGAAAGGAGGAATCCACAGTTTTTTGTTGAAAGACATGTTCATCACACTGTTGGAGTTATGGTTTGGGGTGCTATAGCTTATGGTTCCAGGTCACCTTTTATCTTCATCAGATGTAACATGAACACGCAGCGTTATATCCACGAAGTTCTAGAACCCCATCTTTTACCCTATCTTGACACCCTGGCAGATCCAACTTTCCAACAAGATAATGCCCGACCACATGTTCCAAGAGTCACAATAGACTTCTTTCAACATAATGATGTCACATTGTTACCATGGCCACCAAGATCTCCCGACTTATCCCAATTGAGCACGTGTGGGATATGATGGGTAGGAGATTGCTCAATTTGCAACGTCCTCTTCAGACTCTAGAAGCACTTCGAGAGGAGTTGGTGATTGCCTGGAATGAGATACCACAGGAGGACATTGACCACCTGATCAGAAGCATGCCTAGGCGCGTTGGAGAATGCGTAGCACATCAGGGTGCATCCACACATTATTAAAGGTCAAAGGGCTTTAAAGCAGTGCAATCATTTTGAAATTTTTATCATTTACTTATTATGCTTCATTAAGTACTTATACAAAATTTTATTAAAATAAAACAATTTAAACTGGGTGTTCGGATTTATATGTCACTTAGTATATTTCCATATAAACCAGTGCAATTAGGATTACCTTTATCGGTCAATGTTGCTTGCAAGCAACTAATTCTAAAGTCATTTTCCCAGGTTGTTTTTTAACTTTTATATCTTATGTCATCTACAAGTCATAACTGATAACCTATGTCAATATTAGATTTTTTCAATAAGGTGTCGCGCAAAGGCAGATACAGGGTTAATACCAATATCAAGTAATATAATCAATAACGGCAGTTGCTTACCTTTGCCGTGTCAACAAAAGAAAAACAATAATAAAGTAATGAAAATTTTCGAAAGTCTGATCGAAAGATTCAACAAATTATTTGGCTCTGTGTAGCTGTAAGTACGAGTATGTCTAAAGTGACGGGCCCTAAACGTTGAGCGCCACGAAATTTGCCAAAAGAAAATCATTGAAAAGGGTTTGGCCTAGGAATCGTTACTCATCATTAATAAAGGGAAATTCAAATTAGTAGTAAGTGATCAAAATAAAGAAAAGTTATGTGATTTTGGCACGTTATACTAGTGAAGTGAACTGAAGTGATCTACAGCTAGTTTCTAGTTGACATCACGTAGGAAGACCTAAATTATGTCATAAAAAACCTACAAAATGTCAAAAAAATCAATTAGCCGAGCTTAATTACAACCACCGCATAACGAATTTACTTATTGCCTA